AGGCACCATTTGAGCTCTTATTTAATTTGTTCAGTTTTCATGCATAAAGAGATCAATTTAAGAGTATTCTTAGTTACAAGCTTATTTTCAGTGATTGCAATTTCTTAAGTATTTTTAAAGCTGCAAGGCCGGATGCGGTGGCTCACGCCTATGATCCCAGCACTCTGAGAGGCTGAGGTAAGAGGATTGCCTAAGCCCACAGTTTGAGACCAGCCTGGGCAACTTGGTGAGACCTCATCTCTACAATAAATCAGAAAAGTAGCTGGGCATGGTGGCGTGTGCCTGTAGTTCCAGCTACTTGGAAGGCTGAGGTGGAAGGATTGCTTGAGCCCAGCAGGTCGAAGCTGCAGTGACTGTGAGCAGCGGGCCACTGTACTCCAGCCTGGGTGACAAAGTGAAACTTCTACTCAAAAAAATAAAAAACAAAAAAAATAAAGCTGCAGAGTTTTTTGTACTCCTTTTTTAAAAAGAGTTGTACAAAGGCTTAAACATTTCTAATACACAATTGTTGGGGTTTTTTGTTTGTTTTGACTTGGGTGTCTCACTCTGTTGCCTAGGCTAGAGCACAGTGGCACAATCACAGCTCACCACAGCCTTGACCTCCTGGGCTCAGGCCATCCTTCCACCTCAGCCTTCTGAGTAGCTGGGACTGTAGGCACACACCACCATACCTGGCTAATTGCTTTTTTTTTTTTAGTTTTAATTTTTTTGTAGAGATGAGGTCTCACTATGCTGCACAATCACAGCTCACCTCGGCTTGAACTCCTAGGCTTAAGCAGTATTCCCACCTCATCCTCCCAGAGTGCTGGAATTGTAGAAGTGAGACACTACGCCCAACCCACAATTTGATTGATTGATTGATCCGAAGTCTCAGTTTGTCACCCAGGCTGGAGTGCAGTGGCACACTCACGGCCACCACAACCTTCATTTGCTGGCTCAGGTGGTCCTTCTGCCTCAGGCCTCCGAGTTACTGCAACTACAGGCATTCACCACTGCACCTGGCTAAATTTTTTTGTTATTTAATTTATTGTAGAGACGAGGTCTTACACAATTGTTATTGTACTCCTATGCTGCACTTTTTAAAATTCAGAATCAGTGTAGTCACAGAAATGTATTAGGTCTGTTACTCTGTGAATATATACAAATATTTGTAAATTTTGACAACTACAGCCTCATTTTCCATGGGTAGACCATCACAGCTAGTTTTGACATATGATATATGCACTAGAACTAATTCTAAAGATGTTTTGCTACATGAGTTTTTTTATTTAATCATGACACACTGTACTCCCCCCAAATTGGTATGTGAGTTATCACCACAAAAACAAACACCTTTACATTCCATGTGGAACTTTTTAACTGGGTTTATATTAGTATTTATCATGTCAAGTGTTTCACCCTCAACAAAAATCATTATTAGGACTAACAGATTTTCTGTTTCAAGCATAGGATACGCTGATATAAAGCTAGCCCCAGCAGCAGTTGGAAAGTTCTGCTAATAGAACAACCAGCACACAAACAGCTATTACTTTCTCTTTCATTTGTGCATTACAAACCCTGAAATAGAAAAGTGCAGTCAACATGGGGGAACTACCATTTGATCTAAATGAACAGTCATTTTCACAGAGTTACATGTAAACATAACTACTGCTACATCATCACTTTTGGGCACGGTTCATGTTAGTACTTCTTCAGCAAATCTGAAACTTGATTTTCATGTGGTCAGAGTTAGCACTTTGGATGGTCAATGTGGAAAACGTTTTATACAACTTATAAGTTTATCGACTTATGTCAAGGGTTGCCAAGTTCAAGTCACTGCCTGTTTTTCTATGATCTGTGAGCTAAGAATAGTTTTTGCATTTTTTAAATGGCCAAAAACAAAATCAAAAGAATAATGTTTTGTGACATATGAAAATTATGTGAGCCGGGCTCGGTGACTCAGCCTGTAATCACGCACCTTTGGGAGGCTGAGGTGAGTGGATTGCCTGAACCCGTGGGTTCGAGACCCGCCTGGGCAGCGAGACTTCATCTCTACAATAAATCAAATAATCAGCCGGGCGTGGTAGCACGTGCCTGTAATTCTGGCTACTTGGAAGGCTGAGGCGGA